TTATTCCTTCAGAGGATTTATTACAACCTTTTATTTTCATGTGTGGAAAATGTAATCTTATCTAGTGCGTCGGCAGGTCCAGTTCAATTTGCTGAATCCGGTTTACAGTGGAAAGCTATCAAACACCAGCCTTCTAGGGCACGCTGTCTGAATGTTAAAGTTGCTAGAATACAAAGCAGTTGAAACGTGCATTAAAATATGGCACTTGGAGAATAGGATATCTATGCAATTAGCAATCTGATGCTTTCAGCAGCTGCGTGTAACTTAGATCCAGTGTATCAACAAAGGATACCTTTGAGATTTAACAGAGTGAGGAGCTAGCTAGCTAGCTGTATGATGCTGCGGTGAAAGCCCAGAATTTGAAACATGTAGCAGTGTGTTCGGCTTGGTGTGTGCCTATGATTTGGGCCTGTGTCGAAGGTGAGCAGTTGTAACTGATAAGTGCCTTGAACCCTGAATTTTAATTTATGCTGTTTTCCAGCAACAGAGCTGCTGGCACTCAAGTGGTTTGCATCCTCTTTGGACACTGGGGAGCAGTGCCAGTGACATTCTGAGTTCAGCAAGCAAAATCCTATTAAGATAACGTCACGGCCTTTCTGTTTTACTGTTTGCAAGCCAGCCATAACATCATTAAATTACACAACAGGGAGGTGCCTGCTGCCAAGGAGCTCTGCTCTAGATAAGATGTGGGTTGAGCCTCTGCCAAAATTTGAGTTGATATGACAAGAAATTTGGAGCCTGTTCAAGGTTTGATTCATGCAAGAAGGAGCAGTGTGCAGGTAAATACTACACTGGATTGTTCACCCATGCAGCTAAAGATATATGCCCTCCCTTCCTTTTGGGACATGGCAGGTGTTCTGCAAAGACCTTTTATAAGGACAGGTAAAAATGCCCAGGCACATTGCTGCACTGCAATGCAGCACAGCTTATTCTTTGTAGAGTGCTGGACGGATTGTGCCTAGAGAGACTGATGTTGCCTGATTTACATCAGTCTTTGTTTCAACATCTAAGAAAAGAAAACATCAAATCAAGTAGGAGCAGCAGAAGAACCAAATGCAGCTACTAGTGAGTTCGAAAGTCATTCTCAGTGTCTCCTGTATCCATCTTTCTGGAACTGAGGGGTAACCTTTCAGCTGAAGGACTTGACTTCAGGGGCTCAGACCATTAATTAAATGCATGTATGTGGGGAATAATATATATTCTGTCTTTTAGATTTTTAGCTGAGTTGTAGCTTTGAGTACTTAGATCCAGTTGAAACTCAGACTGGTTTTATTGGAGCATGTGTGTTGAGAAGTGTTTATTTTTAAAGCCAAAGTGGCGCTTCTTTGGCATCATTTGTAAGAAGCTGTGTTATCCAGTGGTTAGAGCCTGGGACTCTACTCTGGGCTGAGTCACCGAATCACTTTGAATAACTTGCTTTGTTGTCTGATGCCACGGCTATATCAGCAGGAAAATGGAGTGAAGAGAGACCTCCTTGTAAAACTGCACATGGTATCTAAGCAGGGCTTTCCTAGGGAAATGAGTTACCAAACATGGTTAAGAAAAGGTCTTTCCAGCGTTTTGCAGTAGAGAACCTTTGTTACCATTTGACAGTTTTGTGGAGATGCTAAGCCTGACGTGCTACGTGTTTCAGACTTTATTTCATTTCTTTGGACACAATGCCCAGAAAGCCCCAACACTGTTGGAGCCACAGTCACGGATTCACCATAAGGCAGGGCCCTGGGTGTATCAGAGCAGCCCCACCGGTGAGAACTGACTTCAGTATCTTGTCTGTGTTGCAAGAGCTACAGTACCTAAGTGATTTGAAAAACTTCCTTTATGGATATTCATGTTGAGGGTCCTCAGGAGTAGACTGTATATGAGCAGAGCCCACAACAACCTCTGTCACTGCACTTTTTGTCTCTTATGCATCTGCATGCTCACAATCATAAAGCTATATACATTTTAGGGCCAGATGAGTTACCATTCTAGCTCAGACTAGTCCAATCTTGTCTGGTGAACTTCCTGTGATTCTTCAGATTCATGGGATCGTCATGTTCCATTCGTCGCTGATGCAAGTTTGCAGAATGCTGAGGTGTCTCTGTAGCCTTGCATTCGACAGAAGCTGAAAGGACACCTGCCACTCTCTAGAATATATCGGGTTTCATTGTCTCATGTCCCTTTTCAAAAAAATAAAAGGTGTTGCCCTGACAGCTCTGCAAAGTGAAGCCTTCTAATTATCCACACAGCAGGCAGCAGTGCAAGCTTCCCCCATGCTACCTTCCCTCACCCAATAATGTGTTTCAGACCGAGCCTGGCGGGACCCCAATGGAGTGTGGCGGAGTAGTTTCCATTCCTGGCCTCTCTAAAGAAATTGGATACAGAGCACTGCCAGTGGTGATAGAGGTGCTCGTGCTGTGGACACTAAAATGAAACCCATCAGCTCATTCACCAAGCAGCTGTCAGATGGTAATGCCTTTTTGTCTCTGGTAATCCAGGCTAAGGTTGAGTAAGTGACCTAGAGACTGAAGACCCCCTGGCCGGTTACCAGAAAAGCGTAGGTTTTGGTCTTGCTTTATTTTCTCCCAGCGCACAGGTCTGTCAGCAGCTCTGACCCGACGTATTAAACTGTGTGTTCTGCAGGGTGCTCCCAGAGTATATTTCTCTGGATCTGGTGTTACCTTAATTATACCAGGGTTACCGTCTTTTGGAGGACGTGGCCAAGCATCCCGTGACAGGTCGAAAGAGAAGCTTCTGCTGCCTTCCCCAGGAGGGCAGGAGTTCACTTTTTTCCCATGCCAGGTGACAGGTTGCTGGAAGTGCCAAGTGGCACAGCTGGCATCTGGTGTCCTCTGCAGCTGTCGTTTCAAAGGCTGAGCCATCCACCAACCCACAAAATTATCCTGGCTAAGCTGGCCGCTGTCACTGCTAGACACACAGACTGGTCGGCAACAGCTCTCTAGTGGCCAATTCAGGCTATCTTCTCTCGTCATCTTTATTTCACCCCATCAAAGGCTCCGTACGAGACAGGAACTGCCTTGCCGACTCAGGAAGGTTGGGTGTGAGTCTCTGCAGTGCACACCCATGGTGATCTTGGAGACATGGGAAAGGGTGGCTCGAGAGCAGTGCATGACACCTGCCCTGGCAGGAAATGTGACACAAGCAGCAAGAGCCTTTTCTTATTGCCAAGGAACCTCCCTGTCCCCCACCCCCACATTCATACTCAATAAACCGCCTTCTCCGCATACATGGATCAGCTGTGCAGCACACCGATGGGGAGACGCTGTCATGCTCACTTTCGACGGCCTCCTCAAATGATGTGTCAGAGACACCATTCACGCTGCTGCACTGCTTCTGCTACTGGCTCCCCCAGCAAGGAAGGCCGGGCCGGGCATTTCAGATGCACCATTAGATAAAAGGAAATCTATGAACACAGGTCACAAGAAGTTAGAAGACACGACTGATGTCATGGTGTAGGAGACAGCCCGTGATGCTAGGTGAGAGGCACCACAGGAAAAATGCTTGTCAAGCCAAAGGAGCTTGCTCTCTGCTGGAGAATTGAGGACCAAGCTCAGCTGGCCCAGAGAGATACAGACAATCTCCAACAGGGAAAGAATCTTACTACTGAAAGTGCGGTAAGCACTTTTCCTCCTTGGGGGATGGTTAAGGAGAACAAATCTATAATAGATGTATATGAACCTCTCTTCCAGGAGAGAGTGTTACCTCTAGATTTGGCATTTTGATTTACAAAGTCTGAGAACTGTGAATAACTTTTGCCACCTCCTGAAGTAACTCTTCATCCCTCCTGTATTTATGTTTCCATGTAGCTCTGTATGTCAGAGCAGAACAGGGAATCCATCTTCCAGTCACGTCTCTGAACCTAGAAATCATCACAGTAGTGGAGCAGACAGTTAATCCACGTCAGACGCTGTTTGTTCGGGTTGGAGGATGGGAATGTGGGGCTAGTGGTGAGGAGTTAGGCTCGTAAATTCTTATCCCTTCTCAGACGTTTGGCATCTGTGTGATGCAGTCAGCTCAGCCGTATTGCTGGGTGAAAAGCAGGGACCTGAGCTTTCTGAGTAGCAAAAGTAAAACACCCAAGAGGAATCACATTTTTTAATTCAGTTTATAGCATAATTAACCCATGAAACTGGCTGTTGCAGTATATTATTGAGGCAAATAATTTAACAAGAATAAAAAATTTAAAAAAAGGACCTTAACAGAATAATAATTGCTTTAAACTAGGTGGTCACAGTGGTCCCGTATGGCCCTTGAACCTATGAATCTAGGTATGGTAAAAAATGCAAAGGTCATCAGCCTTTCTGCATCAGAAAGTATGGTCATCTCCATCAGGAAGTCATTTCCCTGCTGAGATGGTGTTTCACGATTGGCCAGATGCATTAAGGAGGTGTCTCCCTGATTTTGGAAGAAGCTCCCATTGGCTGCTGTCAGGGTTCAGGTACCAGACTAGCTAGATGAGGGTTTTCAGTATGGCAATTCATGTGTAAACTAGGTATAAACATCAATCCTGGCTGAGCTAGGAGGTGCTTACATAAGCTTAGAACTTTGTCCTCTCTCTGCTTCTCAGGGCTTGGCTACACTCGGGACTTCACAGCGCTGCCACGGCAGCGCTGTGAAGGGCGAGTGTAGTCACGCCGCCAGCGCTGCGAGAGCTCTCGCAGTGCTGTATGTACTCCACCTCTCCGAGGGGAGTAGCTCGCAGCGCTGCAGGCACTGATTACACTGGCGCTTTACAGCGCTGTACTCGCTGCGCTCGGGGGGGTGTTTTTTCACACCCTTGAGCGCAGCAAGTTGCAGCGCTGTACAGCGCCAGTGTAGCCAAAGCCTCAATTAAAGCAAGAGTTACATTATGGCTCACAATCAAAGGGAGTTCCAAAGGCACTCCCTGCCTCTCTGAGCCTTGTTGCTTAGGAAGCTGTAGCTTAGGGGTAGAAATCTGAGGTGGCTATCACTATTGACGTATGAATATTTGTCACTGCTTTGTTCCCCATTTGCTCTAGGTGACCCCCGGCTTAGATGGCAAAGAAGGTGAGCTTTTCGTTAAGGGGCCTACAGTATTTCGAGAATACTGGAATAGACCTGAAGAAACAAAAGACGCTTTCACACCCGATGGCTGGTTCAAAACAGGTACTGTGCTGGTCCCACTGGGGTGTGCATGAACAGCAAGAGGGGAGGGGAAGTCGGTTTGTTCCACGGGGGTCTTCCTGCTGGCTGCTTCGTGGAGCAGTGCCAACATCGGTGTCAGTAGGGGGCACCCTGCAGATCTTTCCTCCCTCTCCCATCTGGCTGGAAGCAAGGCACAGCCACAGTGCCCAGCTGTAGGAAGAATGCAGGTGGGGAGTGGGCATATCACTCCATTTTGGGGTGTGTGGCTGAGTCCTTGGTTGTCTGTGTGTGGGTGGGCTCTCCCTGGTCATGATAGTCTTCAAAAATAGAAGCTGGTCCAGATAGGTTCTTCAGTTTCACTGTTCCCGTACCAGTCAACACGCCCCATCCCTAAGCAACAGAGTTTTAGTCTGTTTGCTTGCAAACCTGAGAAGCTGATAAATATGTATACGTCGATTGAACTGAAACAGGCCCCCCCACTGTAGTACCTGCACACTTGAAAAACAGTAAGTACTCTGCTCTGTTCATAGGGGACTGAGATCCTACTTCCATTGGAAATGGTGGTAAAACTTCCATGGACTTCAGTGAGGTTGGGTCCTTCATAATTAGAACTTGCTTGGTTTACATAATCAGCAACGGCAAACCTGGCTGAGTATTTAAAACAATGGATTGTAGAATGAAGAACAAAGAAGATGCAGAAAATGCTGCAATAAGGACTGCAGTACATGGTTCAGGAATTTTTCAATGAAACTTTTTAAATGCTGATTCATCAAAACTTCATGGGAAAGGGTCAGTGTCAACAAATGTCTTGACTCAAAAAAAACCTGAAATTGTGAAAACATTTTGGTTTGATGTTTTCAAAACAAATTCCAGTTTTCCAGTTCACAACAAATTTTTATTTGGAAATTTTAGCTAATTATAGAAAAATAATTTGTTCTTAAACTGGTCAAAATCGAAACAAAACATTTTCATTGACCCAAAATGATTTTTTGGTTTTGGTTTTGGATTTTCAACTCATGAAAATTGTTGAGATCTTGACTTTTTTTTCCTGATTTGGGACAGGAAAAAAAGTTGAAATCTCAAAAATGTTCATTGGACGGGAAAACTGTTTCACATCCAGCTCTACTATTCATTTTGTTCTGGATACCATCTGAAGTTACAGTGTCTCCAATGGCACCAATACAGTTTGCATGCAGGTCCCATTCCTGCCATAATGGTATACTATTTCTGAGCAGGCATTTGAGAAAATAGAAACCCCTGCTCTAAAACAGTTTCTGATAGCAGCAATCTGATGAACAAAACCATGTAATCTCTAGGTTCAGCCCAAACCAGCACAAGTAGAATTTCAAACACTCAAAACAAGGTTCAACACTGAAAACATGAGGTTGAACACGAGGTTCAACAAGGATAAGTGCAGAGTCCTGCACTTAGGACGGAAGAATCCCATGCACCGCTAGAGACTAGGGACCAAATGGCTAGGCAGCAGTTCTGCAGAAAAGGACCTAGCAGTTACAGGGCGCGAGAAGCTGGATATGAGTCAACAGTGTGCCCTTCTTGCCAAGAAGGCTAGCGGCATTTTGGGCTGTATAAGTAGGGGCATTGCCAGCAGATCGAGGGACGTGATCATTCCCCTCTATTCGACATTGGTGAGGCCTCATCTGGAGTACTGTGTCCAGTTTTGGGCCCCACACTACAAGAAAGATGTGGAAAAATTGGAAAGAGTCCAATGGAGGGCAACAAAAATGATTAGGGGGCTGGAGCACATGACTTATGAGGAGAGGCTGAGGGAACTGGGATTGTTTAGTCTGCAGAAGAGAAGAATGAGGGGGGATTTGATAGCTGCTTTCAACTACCTGAAAGGGGGTTCCAAAGAGGATGGATCTAGACTGTTCTCAGTGGCACCAGATGACAGAACAAGGAGCAATGGTCTCAAGTTGCAGTGGGGGAGGTTTAGGTTGGATATTAGGAAAAACTATTTCACTAGGAGGGTGGTGAAGCACTGGAATGGGTTACCTAGGGAGGTGGTGGAATCTCCTTCCTTAGAGGTTTTTAAAGCCCGGCTTGACAAAGCCCTGGCTGGGATGATTTAGTTGAGGTTGGTCCTGCTTTGAGCAGGGGGTTGGACTAGATGACCCTGAGGTCCCTTCCAACCCTGAGATTCTCTGATTCTATGAAAACACTCATGCCCACTCTCCCAGTCAGGCATTATTTGCCAGAACTCTTGGTGAATAATGTGCAGTAACAAATTCAAGAAAATGAGAAGCTGCTGACAATTCCTGAGCAGAAAAGAAGTGATTTTCCTAGAACAAACTCTGCACAGCAAATGTTCAGAATGTGCACAGGCAAAGCTCGGCGCTGCCGCTCAGAGCACTCGTGCCGTAGAGCTACTCTCTGAATTGTAGGTACAGTAAGAAAATAGCCTGGTCCCAGAGTGAGTCTCAGAGTGCAACGACACCACAGGACACCTTGTGAAGTTGCGTTTGACGTGTTAAACCGGCCAGGCAATATCTCTGTATTGCTCTGTTCCCATTATCTCTATTAGTGGCAATGTGCTGTTTGATTTATGGACTAAAGTCACACAGCATTTTTGTCCTCGCTGTATCCAGCCCAACTGACCATTAATCTTGTGGGTGGCAAACAAGCTAGGGGTTTTTGGTTTGGGTTTAAATTTCCATCTACCCAAACCCTAACGCAACTAGAGCACTGCAAATCCGCAGATACCAGTTTTATATCCATGGACCGTTTTTGTGGATCGGATGCAGATACAAATTTTGTATCCACACAGGGCTCTGAATATAACCAGGACTGGCTTTTCCATTTCTCCCCTTGCTGCATGTCAGTTGGGCCATCTCTGGGCTGAGTTTCTGGTGCCCTCTTTGTGGCCCGTTTGTGTATTTTGTGTCCCATAAGAAAAGCTTTACTTTTTTAAATGAATGATGGAGCTGCAACACCACAAGTGTCGCCACTGATCTTGGTATCATGCCAGCCGCGGGGTTTCATGACACGGTGTCAGCAGGCGCTGCAAAGTGCAGGGCAATCAGCTTTAGAAAAATTTTTAGTCAACACTCCTGATGAATATTTCAAATGCAAAAGAATAGCATGCATTAATTATTGTAAAGAGATGTCTTTAGGAGAAAATGATTCTGAAATTCAGTTTAATTTCATTGTAATGCGCTGCAAACAGGAAGGGAGTATGTGTGTTTAATTGGCTCTCGGGGGTAAGGCCTGGAAGATGCCATGCCTTTGTCACAGGCCATTAGCGATACAGACTGCATAATGAGAGAGTACAATCAGCTCACAGCTGCCGGCTCCTACGGGGAGAGAATGATATTAAATAGAAATCAGTATAAATTAAACTTAACCCTTTCACTAGCCAAATTAAGCCTATCAGCCAGGAATACTGGGGGAAGTGAGAGCAGCAGCAGCAGCAGTGGGTGAGGGATGGGTCGGAGGGTGCCTGGGAGATTTTCCCACTAGCAATCCATCAAGTCTGACTTCATCTTTGATATTTTTGTGGCAATGTTGGGGGGGGGGGGGCATTTTGAGATTTTTTTTCTTTCTGTTTTCCCCAACCCCATCTTTCTTGCATTTTTTTCTTCTGACCTTTTTCCCCGTCCTTTGCAGATGTCATGCAGGCAGGCTTATTCCAGAGCTAGTATGTCTCAGATAACCAGAGGTACTATATCGGCAGTGAAACCATAGCCCCTCCTAAACCATCATGTTTGCTTATTGAAAATGAACATTTATTTTCATTCTGAAAGCCTGAGAGCTCCCAATCCTGTAGTGGGACTATAAGAAGCCATTCAATAGAGCCAAGGTTTTTGTATGTTGTAGCTAGGTGGCTGTTACCAAGTGCGATTTTAAGAGTGAATTGAATGTGTTAACTGGAGTTCATTAACTTTGCAGTAGAGGGCATACCGCTAGAATGCAAATGAGATAAAATATAGCTACAGTACAGTGATCGTTTATAGATAATGCACTAATATTTGTAAGTGTGTATATGTGTGCACGTGGACGCAGCTCTTAAATGAGGGAAGTGACTTTACTTCTGATTCTGCAGGTGCTGAACTGTTTTAACGTCCCTCTAGCACTGGTAAAAGGCCATTTTAGCATCAGCATGCCAAAACCTTAATCTGTGTCACGGGTACCACTACATGCAAATGTCTAGCGTGGATGAGGGACCCAGCCTAGTGTGATCGCAGGCTATTGACAAGGTTTTTCAAGCACTCTTCAAGGACATATGGAAGTGTGCGCTCAGCTGGAGTAGAAATGAGATGTGAGGAGAGTAAACTTGGAAACAGTGTGCAGTGCTATCACTAATAACTCCTGAGCTGTAATTTAGCATTCAGCTGATTGTTAATGACAATCCTAGAAACCAGCAGGTCCGCAAATGAAGAATAATTACTGCAAGGGAAAGCACAGAGTGTCACTCTTACTACACCTTGTGACGGGTCTATCCAAACAAAGGCACATCTTTAACATGTCTCTGTCTACACAATGAGGATGAGAAGAAGGGAGAAACATGCAACTGTCCGTGGCTCTCGTGACACTTAAGAGTGGTAGTAAACAATAAAATAAAATCTGTGATGATGATAGAACAAGGCAGAGAATGCAAATCCTGGGCTGCTCTTCACACATGACAAGTGGCAACTGCAGAGTGTGCAGAGAAGTGTGTCGTGTTTGATACAGTTACCAGATAACAGGCTTTGTGCACTCAGCTCCCATGTATCGCTATGCAAATTCGACCTTAAATCTCTCAAGATGGCCAGACAAGTCTCATTGTTCTGGAGAATCCAGCTGGAGATAGAGAACTCTTGCGATCTCGCCTTCTAACCAATCTTGATTCAAAAAGCATCATGTCCCATATCAAAGGAAGTCAGAACTAGCCCCCATTCCCAATAGTTTCATTGTCAGGATGATATGGATGAAACTGAGATGTAGAATTTGCAGAAATATAAACTCCCCTCTAGCCCTGTGCATTGTGTAATCCACCAGAGGGCAAGAATGGGGAAACCAATTCTCCTGGTTGATGCACATTGGAAGCATTTCTTTA